ATAAAAAAAGATAGTTTTTTCATCATAAGATATATGTTGATAAAGTGAGTCTGGAGTTGGCCAATGAAAACATAGGATATATTGGTAATCTGAGGGGAATGATGGATATTGTTTTTTTTAAAGGCAAAAAGAAGAATTTATTACTAACAAGGCATAAGGAATGCCTGATACAGAACGATGACAATTATAAACGACAATTCCACACCAGCAATTTCCACGCATACAAATAGGGACCTGCAAAACCAACCAACCAATGCCTCCAATCACAAGACAAACTAAGCATCAGTTTAACAAACAAACTGATACAACACCCTGAGATGATACAATAATAACACCAAACCACAAAGACAACACACAAATCCTGCACTAAATAATTATCAACTATGCCTAACTTGAATATACACACTCCAAAGTTGCATTCTACCCAATTGCATGACAAAAAAACGCAGCCCATTATCAAGCATATGAATATAAAGTTGCCCTCCCAAACACGCCGGTGAGACAAACATGCCTTCACTGATAGCTAAAGAAACATATTGGACAATACACAACTCCTCTACTGTTATAGCTCCCCACACCTCACGAACTACGCCAATGCTACATGGATATGCAAAATATAAACCACAACAGCAGCAACTGCCAAGCCCTCACAGAATATAGTAAGATCACCCACACGAAAATCGGCAAACACTGATCAGGCCGCACCAGCTAAATAAAAATACAACTAACAGCCCTTGAACATCTCCCAACAAAACCACCACCACTACAAGAAAAAATTCAGACCTGCACTATTCACTGAAACATAACCAATTCTTCCACTGCGACACTGAATATGCGAACGTAAATGAACCGCCAAAACAAGCACACCGCTGATACGCAAGACCTGCAAGACTCTGCAGAAAAAACAGAGTACTAATAAATTGCAAATCCCACCCCCACATTAACCCGAAAAAGTCTGCCATCGAAGTTACTGTCAGAGAATGCATTCAAACGGATTTAATATCCAAAGTTCCAAAGGATATATAAACCTAGACTTTTTATGCCTTAACCAAGACCATGATAGTGTTTTAATAGTTTCAACCAAACTCCCTGCGTTCATGTTTTTGTTCCTGAGTTATGTAATACCGTCAACACCTTCAACCAATTTAGAATTGCAAACCAAACCTTGCTTGATTTTGGACACTCGAAGAGTAGATGAGTGACATTTTTTGTCTTTTCTACAACCAAACGGACAAGATATTTGCGAACCATTCAAGATTCCTCTCTTCGCCAAATTATCTTTAGTCGGGATTTTGTTTTGCCATAATCTCCAAACTAGTGTCAAAACCTTAAGTGGGATAAGCTTATTCCAAGCTGCAGCGAACCTACTCCTATCTTCCAATGCATTATCTCTTACCACTAATTTATATGCTTCTTTTACTGAGTGAGTAATCTTTATTACTCCAAATCCACTTGTCTTCTATATCTTCACAACAAATTATGCTTTGAACTTTTACCATACTATTGAACCCTTCTGCTGCCATCAAGAAGAGAAACGGCGATAGAGGATTGCCTTGGCTCAAGCCCCTGCCAACTCCAAATTCAGCAGTGGGACTTCCGTTTACTAAAACTGAAATCGTGGTAGTCCGAATGCATTCTGAAATCCAGTCCCTCCATTTCAAATTGAATCTCATTTTCTCCATCACAAGTCCAAATATCTCCAATCCACTGAGTCGTATGCCTTTTCGAAATCTACTTTAAACAACATCACCTCTCTTTTCCTTCTTTTTTCTTCATCCACAAGTTCATTAGCCGCAAGAATTTCATCCGTTATTTGACGGCCTTCTACAAAAGCACACTACGACTCCGAAATTACTTTATTGATCACCTGTTTCAACCTGTTTGCCAACAGCTTCGCTAACACCTTATACATACTCCCGATTAAAGTGATTGGTCTGTATTCGCTAAGCTTCAATGGATTCTCAACTTTTGGAATTAACGTTAGAAATGCAGAATTTGCGCCTTTAACCAATCTGTCGTTTTGGTGAAACTCAAAAATGAATCTATGGAAGTCTTCTTTCATAACATCCCAGAATTCTTTGATGAATCTGAAGTTTATGCCATCTGACCAGGGCTTTTTGAACTCTCACATTCCCAAACAACTCCTTTTATCTCCTCCGTTGTAAACTCTGCAGCAAGCAGCATATTATCGGCCTCGGTAATACGGTTGAATGATAAATTCTGCAGTACCAGTTTGTTAATCGTTTGCGCTTCAAACAACTTTGAGAAGTAATTGGTTATCTCTTACTTTATCTCATGCACTTCCGTCAGCTTTGCACCATTTGTTTCAATACAATTGATTTCGTTGATTCTTCTTCTGTTCAGCAAGCTTTCGTGGAAGACTTTTGTATTAGCGTCTTCCTCTTTGATCCATTTGATTCGTGATTTTTGCCAAGCTATACTGCATTCAGATTTGACAAAGAGTTTAATTGCACAGTCGCTTCTCTTTTTTATGCCATCTCCTCATCTAACAGAGTTACCACCTCCCCCTTAACTCCCAAGTCGTCGATTTCTTTCTTAGCATCTTCAATCCTCGTTCAAAATTTTCTAAGTATCTCTTTCTCCGCTCTCTAAGATGATGTTTGATCATTTTGATTTTTTCTTTCAGAACATATGCGCCCCACCCTTGAACTTCAAATGACTTCCACTTTTCTTTTACGAAGTCATGGTATCCCTCCAATTTGCTACAACAATTGAGAACCCGAAAGGACTTTGGTCCCCAATTTTTGAATTTCTCGCGCATAATGATAGGATAGTGGTCAGATAACCCTTTGTCTATGCACCATTGAGAACAATCTGACCATTGGGATAATCAACCTTCTAAAACTAAGAATCTGTCAATGCAACTCATCACCAAACCTTCAAATTTGACCATGTGAATCTTCTACCAATTAAAGGTAAGTAATTCCGCTTTCGACATGAAATTCTCAAAATCTCTCATCTCTGTCTTTCTCGTTAACTCGCTGACTCCTTTTCGTTTTAATTTTGACTTGATTGCCTTAAAATCTCCCATCACACACCATCTTCCTCTTGGTTTTGATCTTTACTAATTCTATCAAATTTCTCTATAAAACTCTTTTTCTGCCGACTTCGCACGGTGCGTACACATTTACAATATTCATCAGAATCCCTTCGTTACCCCATGTCCTTCTACACAACTGAAGTTATTTCCTATAATCTCATTTATCTTACTGAAAACATTGTGATATCGAGATAAGATTACCATTGTGTGTAATATTGAATGGTGATGGATGTGATGGCACGTGTTGCATTGGAATGAAGAGGAATCTTGAAAAGATATCAAGGGTAAAACTAGCACATATTAAAAACTAAATAAAAAATATTTTTGTTAGAAATTATACACTGCTCTTATTAAAAATTTGTAATTAATTTTTTATTGTTTTTCCAACACAAATTTTTTATTTGCAGGTTTCTTAATATGTACCTATGTTAACATTACCCATCTTGCAAAGACAAATCATAATAGATTAATTGAGTGAAATATTGGAAAATGAAAAAGAAGAAATCATATTGAAGCCCCAACAAAGCGAATCCTTTTCGACAATTCCATTCTCCAACTTGTTACATGGACTATCATCTCATCAGGCTCCAGTGATGGAGTTTCAAACTGCAAGTTTATCAAGCATTTCATCAAACAATTGTATTCCTCCAAATTACAAGTAGTTAATGAACACTATATTTTCTCAATTTAATATAGAGTTTCTTTTAAATAAGAACAAAACGTCAGTTTATGTAAGATTCAAATAGAAAAATACTTTTAAAAAGCAAAGACATGCAGCTTACAGGACAAAAGAAATTCACGAGAAATGAAATTGATGCATGATGGCACGAAATGAGTGTCCATTGGAAGAAGCGTTGATCCAAGTCTCTCTCAGCAGTCAGCACACAGTTAGTTTTTACCATTAAAAAAAGCACACAGTTAGTTTTCTACTACCTTAAATATGATTGTGATGCCTCTTCTTGTATGGAGTATTTCTCCTCTTTGTATGAAGTATTTCTTGTTAACGGATAACTTGAAAAGAAATATGAAGCTCAAACATCTCAAAAAGAATTCCGACAATAACACGGCGACACCGATAATAATTTAAAAAAAATAAATTAATTAAACATAATCATAAATGTCTAACACTGACACATTTTTTCAAAAGTTCGGTGCTTCGTAGAAAGAAACTGATCATTTATCACTCGTCATATATATAAAGAAATAGTACAGTATGAGAAACAGGCAGTAGAGCTGTTTGGGAGTTTTACAACTGCACAACCGACAACGAATGGCAGCCCTTCAAAAGTAGTGATTGGTGACTCACTTTCTTAATGGGTACAATGGGAGAGACATTTAATATGCATACCATAGAACACAACACATGTGTGCATCATCTGATACCTTTCCTCTTCCATGTCCAAAGTATAGTTAGAATCGGAGGCAGAATCACATTACCTCATTCATTTGGTTTCTAGACACCAAACATCATTCTACGGCAAACAAAAAAATGGCAATACCATCTTTTATCATAAAATGGGCATGTATATGGTCCCAAATAAAGGGCATGTTATATTATTTTTCATTTGGATCTCTCCAAATTTAGTGTTAACAAATGCAACCATAAACTTAATTTTAAGGAAAAAAGAAAGCAAGTTCTCATGACAGCAATTCAAAATAGACAGTAAAGTACTAGAATTTTGACAAACTAAACTTTGTAACTTCACTAAATCATGATGGCTCGCCGTGATTTTTCAATCCCCCACCCAGCTCATCAAAACATGCATAAAGTTGATGTATAGGGGACAAACACTTAAGTCTAGTTTCATTATCATGGAGACTAATAGCATTGCAAATTTGTGGAAGTTAGGAAACAAGGGTCAAAAACACAAATACAGAAAGCACTACACTATGACATTCCTGCGTGCCAGTAAATATAGTGCTTACACATTAATCAGAATCAAACAGAAAGCTCCGTTCGAGTAATCAGAATTCCATCTGTGTCTGCATAAAGCCATTCCCCATCGGAAATCCTTGTCCCAGCAATAGTTATGGGAACATGCTTTTCTCCCATACCTTTCTTATTGGCTTTCATGGGATGAGAACCAAGAGCTCTCACGCCAATATCACAACCATTGATCTCATCTACATCTCTTATACATCCATTCACAATAATACCTGCCCATCCATTGTTCTGTGCTTGCACCACAGGGTTTCCTCCCAGTATTGCACAGCGCAAACTCGCACCGCCATCCACAACAAGCACTCTTCCATTGCCTTTCTCTTCAAGGAACTCACGAACTAAGACATTGTCTTCAAACACCTTTAAGGTAACTATTGGTCCGGAAAAGACCTGTCTTCGACCATAAATCTGAAAAATTGGCTGAAGGGCACGAAGCTCCCCACTTAAAATTAACTGTGGGTTTGCATCACACACTTCTGCAGTGGTGACCAAAGCCATTTATTTCAACAAACCTGCAACAGACTAACCAAAAATTACATCTAATTTAGATTTTTTTTAAAAACAAGCAGTTACAGTAAAAAAAAATCAATAAATAAATAAATAAATAAAACTAAAATAATCCTGCAATACAATACGACAGCTTCTCATATTAATTGAAATTAACTTTTGTATCTCAAATCTCTTAGGTTCGAGTAAACATTTTCATCTAATTTTCTGTTTTTACTCTTAGTCACATAATGGTAACCCTATTCTGATTTGTTTATATGATTCGATAAGATTCATCATATGAACTATGAAAATGGTATAATTGCAGCCTAATCGTTCATTACACAACTCAATCATGATTAAAATATGACAAAGAATCAAAGGTAATAAAAACCGATAGCATGAACTATAATCAGAAATCAAGCGGTGAATGAATAGAAAAACAAAATCAATTGCAAATCGAAAATCAGGCGATCGAGATCTATGAAATAATTTGCAATCCGAAAATGGAGAAAAGAAAGAGATGTACCGATGAGGATGGGAAACTGGATCTGCGAATTGGAAAAGAGCGTTGGGTTGGATTGGATTGGATTGGAAAGTTGACAGTGCGAGCAGATTTTGAGAGTGTCGGAAAGGAGAAAGAGAGAAAAGGGATTAGTCAGTCACGTTATCAACATTCAATGACACAAATGTCTACCTCCCACTTGAATGAAGAAAAGAAATAAATGAAGTATTAGTTTACTAATTTAAATGAATTTTTTAATATTCTCCAAGTTATAAAGTCTTAGCCCGTGATTGATTCCCCATTTGATATTTAACTCAAATCTATCTATCATTAATAATTGTTACAATTTTGTTTTGGATCTCTTTAATGTACGGTAAGTAAAATCAAACCCGGTTTGGAGAATCAGAACCATAACCAATTTGTTTGAATCTGAAAACCTGAATATAAAAGAACCATAATTTAATCGGTTTAAATTGATTAAAATTAAAAAAACCTGACAGTTTGGACTATTCTTAAGTTCGGATTCGATTTTGCTTTTAATTTATAAAAAATGATAAAGGGTTTTATTTTGAATCAAAATGTTATTTTTTTTAATTTTCTTCTTCCTTAATTCTTCAATCACTCTAGTACACATTATTAGAGAAAGAATCAAAGTAAAAATTATTCTTTATTTATTTGATAAATGAAAGTGGATTTTGTATAATAGTAAAAAAGTACAATAAAATACAGGGTAACACATAACATATGAGACCATCTCCAGCGGCATGTTATTTGTAGTATTTCATCAACTGGATGCAAACTTTGCTAATTTAATATTCAAATTGTCTGTAAATTGTCCACCACGTAATAATGTCGTTGCATTGTGAAGCAACGGGGCAATGAATAAAATAATAATAAATTATGTAACGGTTGCACATTGGTTGTTTTTTTTTTTTACAATTCATATGTTTATAAATGAGATTAATTAAAATTTTGGCAAAATACTAATTTTCGTCCTTTAACTTTATTTTGGAGTTTATTTTGATCTCTTAATTTTTAAAATGTTCAAGTCGGTTCCTTAAATATTAAAAATGGAGTATGTGAGTCATTTCCGTTTGTTTCCTTCAACGGACGTTTGTGAATGACGACATGATATATGACATGGTTGTTCTTCTTATTTTCCACTCTCTTTTACATTTGTGTTCTGCAATTTCTAAATCAAATTAGGGGTTTAGGGTTCCATCCAATCTCATCTCAAATTGTTCAATCAATTCTAAAAAAAATTGAAGGTTGTAGCAATAAGAACAGTCATCTACAAAAACAACCAAGAGTGAAGAAGCTGAAACTCGTAAACAATCACTAACTTTCCTAAACTCCTTAACAACGGGCTTAACCGGCCTCTGGTGCCTCTTCCACGCCACCTGCTGTAAAGCATACCCAACCTTAAAAACGGAATAGAACTGCTGCATAAGAAGCACATGAGTCTAATTAAATATCATCTGCTCAATTACACTAACAACAAAATCATACTCACCAAGAACACGCAAAGGTTGAACAAGAGAATCAATAATCACATTCGCAACTGCAAATTCGCTGCAAAGCCAATTCATAAATCATTCCCTCTCATCAACAAACCACTATTGTGGTATGTACTGCATCTCGCTGCCGGTAACCACTATTGGAAAATGCTTAATCTACGACGTTACCACATTTTCCATTGGCATTGCCATGAAAACTAACTCACTAACTAGAAAATCACAATTAATCTATAAATTTTTCACAATCTACTACTAAAAAGTACAAAAATCGGAAGGAATTGGAGTGAAAAATTAATGAGAAATTAGGGTTTTTGAAGAGATTAGTGTGAATTGTGAGATCTGAGAATGAAAATTGAAAAGGAAAGTGTGATGCTTGTTGAGTAACGAGAACAAATAAATTTGGTGGATAATGAAGATCTAGGGTTAAGATTGTTGTATACGCTTTCTTTTCTTATTTGTAAGTTTGGTGGAGAGTGAACTTTCCTTATTCTTGTTAAATTCACATCAGCACATTTCAATGCCACTTGGACCTTTTTTTTACTTTGACTAACGGGCCCAGACGAAAGGACTAACGTGGTGATGTTTTAATAGTTAAAGGATCAATTTGAACATTTAAAAAAATTAAGGGATCAAATTGGACCCCGAGGTAAAGTTAAGGGACTAAAAAAGGTATTTTGCCTAAAATTTTATACACTCACATTTTCTTTCACAATTTTATTTCCTCTTAAATTTTCAATTTCTCTCTCACAATTTTATCACTTTAGTCTTAACTTTTAAATTTTTCTCTCACAATTTCATCTCATTGACCTTCATTTGACACCATATTTTACTCAAATTTTCATCTTTTTACTTCAAAAATATTATTGTTTGGGTTAAATGGATCATAACTAATATAACTTTCAACCATTTATGTTCCAAATCATGCAAAAATATCAACATCCTAATCCTCAAAATTCTCAATTTTGCCAACAAACTCTGCCGTATTTTTTCGTCACCAAACAACCCAAATATGTATTTTAGACCTCAAATAAATACTCGTGGGATGAATTTTTCTCACCGTGAACCCCAAACACCGATTGAATTTATGTCAAAGCGTCAAATTCCACAAGGAGAAGAAAGGCATTCGGTAAAAATAAAAATAAAAAGAACCCGAGAGCTATTCACAAGGGATGAAGATACATTTCTCATGCAATCATGACTCAATGTTTCAAAGGATCCAATAGTAGGAGTTGAGCAAAAAGATGATAGATTTTGGTTAAGAATCACCGCCAATTATAACCAGTATCGTGGGCAGTCGCGAGAAAAGCTATGTGGTCAATTAAAAAGTTGATGGCATCGAATAAATAGTCTTGTTCAAAAATTTGTTGGGTATTATAAACTAGTCGTTAATGGAAAGAAGAGTGGGACATCGGAGAAAGCTATATTAGTCAATGCACATTCTTTTTTTGCTCAAGATGAAGGTGTGTCATTCAATCTTGAGTATGCATGGCAATTGTTAAAAGATGAACCTAAATGGATGGGAGCATCAATCAAAAAAATTTCAAAAAGAACAAAGAGCTCCACTAGTGGGACATATACATCATATCCTAACCCAGAGACACCTTCAAGTTATGAGTATAATTCATCATCTCCAATGGAGCGTTTAATGGGACAAAAGGCAGCAAAAAGAATGGGTAAGGCAAAAGAAAATGCAAATGCAACCAAACTGACTTCTAATGTTATGTATGATACAATGGATAAAAGAGTAGCAGTAATGGAAAATATAGCACCACTTAAGGAGGAAGAAAATAAATTAGTCAAAGAAAAGATGGAGTTTGAAACAATGAAATACATCACGCCAGACACTTCTAAGATGAATGATACTCAACGTGAAATTCATGAAAAATATTGTAATAATCTAAAAGAAATATATGGATTTTAGTTAAGATTAAATGTTCTAGTATTATCAAAGTTAAATATTATGTAGTGCTTTTTATGCATCAACAACCTATGTAAAATGGTCATTAGTACCAATTTAATTTGAACTAGTCGTTATTCAAACTAACTGTTAGCCATATAAATTATATATACTTTCATTTTCTCTCACTTTTCTATCACACGTCTCTCACTTTTGCATCACTCAAGCATCATTCTTCTCTCATTTTTTCTCTCACTTTTCTACCTCTTGGGCGTGATTTCTATGTCAGATTCCATCCAAGGAAACCCTAAGTCCCTCAGATGAGAGTTTAATTATCCTACGGGATTTAATTCCCTCAAGCAAAGTTATATGTATCCCAGCAAATAAGAATATAAGTCCCTCGGGTGAGGCGTTAGACCTCTTGGATGTAACTTCTATAAAGCCCCCAGACAAAACTTATGATTAAGTATCTTAGGCTAGACTTTGATCATACCTCTTGGGTGTGGTTTCCTATGCATGTTCCTGCCCGAGGAAATCATAAGTCCATATAATTAGCCTAAGGGATCTCAATACCTCGGGAAAAATTATATGTAGCCCAGATGATGAGATCATAAGTCTCCCAGGTGAGGCGTTGGACCTCTCGGATAGGACTTCTATCAAGCCCTTAGACAAGACTTATGATTAAGTCTCTTAGGCTAGACTTTGGTTGTGCCTCTTAGACGTGATTTTCTATGTCCGGTCTTGCCCGAGGTTAACCTAAGTCCCCCAGGCGATAGTTTAATGTAGCCCAGGTGATGAGATCATAAGTCTCTCAATTGAGGCGCTGGGTATCTTTTATGTATTTCCCTAAGGGGCAGTAAAGGTTTTTGCCACGAAGTCCATCAAATATTGCCTCAAAAGGCAAAAAGGATCTTCGTTATGAAGTTCAACATACAAACATTGCCTCAAGGGAAACAAGGATCTTCATTGTGAAGTCCAACGAATATTGGCTCAAAGGGCGACAAGTATCTTCGCTATGAAGTTCAGCATATAAAGATTGCCGCAAACTGTAGCTAGGATCTTCGCTATGAAGTCCAACATACAAAATATTTAG